CCACACTTGCGTGGAGGAAGAAAGACCAGTCGGGCAAGTCGAAACCAACGGAGAAGATAGATCCATCAGCTTGGATAGGAATAAGCACTTGTATTTATGTACCCAAAAACCCAGCTGTGTGGGTTATGTAGTGTAATGATGATTCAAATCCTCAAAATGGAAAGCTTTGACAGCTCTCATCACCATCAGCCTCTCACAAGAGTCATTAAGAAGAAAAAATTGGTCAATATACATGCTTACATTCATGAAATGGTTTGGTTTGATTTGAAAAAAAAGGATTGAAACCTCAAAAGGAATATTAACCACTTCTTTCATAAAGATGATCACCATCTATTATACTTGTGGGCTCAATAGTGTGACTTATGTAAGCATGTACCATGAAACCTGGCACTACTTGTACACTATGATCCACTTACTCAAGGAGTCTGAAGTGTGTATGTATCTCAAAGGTCTATACTGAGTTCACTGTACCATTTTTGTTTTAAAGTGTAAGTTTGGCCTTTGGAATTGCACACATCACTATGAATATCATTATTTCTACCTACAAGCTTTTGTATGTTTGTAGCATGTTTTTTTCCCTGTACTTGCTCTATGGGGGCAAGTTCTGTAGAGGATGTGGGAGTGTAAGAGACAGTTTCATCTACTTATGGATCTTATCGTTGGGGGACAGATTGGTTACAACCATGTTTCAGGCTGGTTCAAATCGGGTAACGGGTGTTGAAATTGAAATTGGGGGTTTTTTATAAAGGGGACAACTAATAAAGGGTTTGAAAGTGAAAATGGGGTGGTGTGTAGTTGTCCAAGATTGGAAGTGGTAGCGGCCAGGGGTTGGGTCTGCCGGGATTTGAACGCCGGACTCATAACTCTCTTTGAAGTGATTATACTATGTCGTCGCAGGGGAGACACCGAGCTTCTGTTCAAAACTTATCCCACAATGGACAGCATATCATAAAGATCTCACCCATCATTACATCTCACCAATCCCAATTACAACATTCAAGCTGCACTGACACAGACACCTCAATACAGTACAACCCCACATTTACATTCACACTCATTCACATACCTGATCTACACATAGTTCTCTTTCACTTTATACAACGGTTCATGTTGAATACTGAAATTAGACACTTTTTTCACTTCAATTTCTACAGGTTAATTTTCATTCTTTTTTGACATTTTTTTTTTTCCTACACTTTAAGACAAGTATATAAGTTATGGTAAAAATTATTTTGCATCAAAATGAGAACTACATCTTATATACTGCATTTGACACCGTTTTTTATTTAATTCTTTATTTCCTAGGTTTTAATACAATAAAAAGAGAATTTGATTCAAATGTCTCCCAAAAATTAAAAAACTCCAAAAAAGAACACTCCCAATCATCGGAAACGGATACACCAATCATTTCTCCAGATTCCCATGCACAAGGCAGACTCTAGTCAAGATTATGAACAGCCTGGACACCACAACACTATCCAATGACACTACGGTCATCTGCTTGTCGCTTCCGTGTGAAGCGACTGCGGGTCGCAGCAACGGTGCCACAGAGACGATACGATACGGTATCAGGCGTTTATCTGTATCGTCTCAGAATTGGAATACCCAAAAATACCGGATTTGTGTTGTCTCACTTTCCTGAGACATATACATGTATCGTATTTGAAAAGTGAGAAATGTATTCTGTATCGTCTCAGATGACTGATCCCACCAAAACCGTATTTGATACATAAGATACTTGGCTGTATTGAAGAAAAAACGAAAAAAAGGAAGACAAATTTTTTTTTGTCATTTTTAAATCCAAATCCGATACAATGTATTTTTTCACCAACCAAGGAAATACTGATACCGGTATCAGGCTCAAAATAAATACGATACGATCCGATACAAATACATGTCTCGTATCTGTGGCACCGTTGGTCGCAGCGCACAAATTTAGGTTGGCAGTATCCGACACCCGCAGCGACACCCGTGAACTCGAATGCGACAGCCATCGAGTTGATGCGACATCCAACCTTATTTGGTTTGATCAAGTTGCAGGCTAATCGATCTTTGGATTGGTTCATTCAAGTGAGTAGGTTTCCCTTTTTTCTCTTTATTTCGGCGTCTTCCTTTCATCCACGTTCTCATCTGACTTGTGCTTCTATTTCGTCTACTTACATACCCTAGTGCGCCGCAAACACCATTCATCAACGTTACGAGCAACGATCTAATGGATAATCCTTGGGGTTCATCTGAGCCCGGCGGCGCAAACAACAATCGGTCCCAAGCTAGTCAGCCTGCCATCATCCCACCAGCCACACTTCAAGCCCAAATCGAACAGATAGTCAAGGCCGCTGTCAATGTCTCTCTCAAATCAGCAGCAGGCGGGAAGAAAAGCAAGCCAACTTCAACCCCAAAAGCGACTCCAAAAGCAGCCTCCAAAGGTAAGGCGCCTGCTACTAAGAAGGTCACGATCACGCCGTCGAAAAGTCCCCCGCCTGTTGCATCAACTTCCAGAAGATTCGACCGAGCCAGATCGGCTCCACCTGAAATAAACACGGCCGTTGTCGAGAAGCCGAAAAAGGCTTGCAAGTCAACCAAAGAATCACCTGCGAAGGCCCCTGCACGAAAGCGGAACCCTCGACAGATGCAAACTGGCGACTTTCCAGCAACCTATGCAGGCACCAAGGCAAGTTTCTTTCTTTCTTTTTTTTCAGAAATAATAAACTAAATCATTTGTGATTTAGAACGCTGTTTTTATTCATATAAAGGTACTCTGGGGGCTCTTGAAATCGGACTCGGTCCCCAAAGCTCCTGATTTGAGGGATCTACAGGAGTTCTACGATAACTTCTCGAGGGAGGAGCACGTCAACCAAGCGGCTAGTTTTGGTTCGTCTGGTCGTGAACTGATTGACATCAATCAAGTTCAAATTCTCAAGGACGCTCGCGCTGGGCGTATTCGAATCGGAAACTCCTACCTTAATGTGGGAGACAATTTTATTCGATACGCCAAGGGACTCATGGCTCGTTTGGGTTTCAGAAAATGGTGGCCAAATCTCGAGGAGGATTGCGATTCGTTATACAACACCGCTTGTCGAATTGCTGCTGTCACAACATTCCAGGAACTTGCCGGCGCGAAAGCTTATGCTTATCTCAACATCAATCCAGAAGCGGTTCAAAACATGGGCTTTCTGATACAATGTTACAACCACTTTGTTCACTTTCTAATGTTAGATAAGTAAAAAAAAGAAAATAAAGAGAAGGGCAAACTCCAGAAAGAAGTTCACCACAAGAACGTCCAGAAGAATCACAAGCGAGTAAGTCACTCTTCCAAGTTGCATCAGTTTCAAGGAGTCGTTTTCACATACTAATGTTTTTATTTTAGCTGGCTGCCAGCAGATTAGAATTTGCGACACTCAACAAATTCCCCCAGCGATACATCAAGATCCTGCCACCGATTGCGGCTCATAGTGACGATGAGGTGCAGGAGGGAAAAGGCTTTTTCAAGATCAAGACGTTACCTTATCAATCGAAAAACGCCAATCGGTTTTTTCGTTGCCTGGACATCCGCATGTTGAAAGCAGCCAAGAAGGATCCAAGCAAGCGTTGCCGTATACGCAAATTACCAAAGAACCCAGAGGCTTCAGCTTACACAGCTGCACCAAAGGGTCTTCCGATCGACTTTTACGACCCTGAATGGTATCACAACCTGACACCGGCTCAGCAACAGCTCATACCAGATCTCACAAATGTTGCATTCCTTCCGAACGCAAATGAATCACTACTTCCAAAGACTCAGCGACATCCTCACAAAAGCTCAAAAGACAAGACTTTCACCCGATTATACTTCGAACAACTAGCTGAACCCTACGGACTTGTTGGATCAACGACCAGCAAAGAGTCTGGTGATGAAGAAGGCGAAGGCGAAGGCGATGATGAAGAAGGGGAAGGAATCGACTTGGACGGTCCCAGCCCGGATGCTTCTGAGGACGAGTTCATTGAGGAGGGCGATGCCGGTGATTTGTACAACGACAATTTTGTTGAAGAAGATGGAGGCAACGATGAATCCAATGGCAATGAGGATTACGATGTGGAACTCCTATCGTGCCAGGCGGTAGGCAGTTGGTTGAAGGGAAAGTGCTTTGAGGGCTGCCTTCAAGTGGGGTCTGGATGAGTGAGCTGTGATCTGAACAAAAAGCGTTGGGGTTGGCTGGTTTTCTGAGAGGAGACAACAGAATTCGATTTCTGTGGCGGTTGTTGAGGTTGAGGATATGTGAAGGTGAGTATGAGGATCAGATGAATCAATAATAAAAAGATCAATAAGAAATGATGGGTCTATCTTGGATCAGATCAGAGTGCCATGCTTCCCCATCATCTCAGTTCAAACTGAACTTTGACTCTGGGGAGTGACATGTCACAGACATGTCATCACATCCCTAACTACAACACAACTCAACCAAAAAACAAAAACAAGACCACACTACACAACACTACACTACACAACACAACACACACAACACAACACACACAACACAACACAGAACAGAACAGAACAAAACAGAACAAAACAAAACAAAACAAAATAATCAAGAGTGAAATAAACCAACATCCTGAGATGTCTTAGGACCAAGAAAATTAAACAAGACTGTCTACTGAGTAGGTGATTTGAAAAAGATGAGTAAGAATAATAAAATGATGAAAAATAAAATCAAGATGAATGAAAAATAATATGAAGATAAAATAATCAGAGGAAGTAGAATAAAATAATGAAATCAGAAACCATTGGACTGAGTGGGGATTTGAGGTGATAATATTGAAATCTTGAGTCTTGAGGATATTGAAGAGTTGAAAGTTGAAATTTGAAATTCGAGCTTGAGGAGGCTTGTACCGTTTAGAACACCGCAACGAGGAAGACAGCAACTACGAGGATCCAGAGCACTCCGGGGATCACAAGCCGATGCAAGGTGTCGAGGAGGATGAACCAGTCTGGTAATTTTTTCTATTCAAGCGTATTCCCATCTCTCCTCCAGTGTTCCAATTTCCTTTCTGTGCTATCTTTTTCCATCTTTCACTTGAAACATAACTTCATATCCCGCACTGGATGTGCAGTAAAATAAGGGCCTTAATAAAAAAACCCGCATTTTCCGCGTTTTGACGCGCTTTTGCTGCGGCACAGCACACGCGCATTCTGCTTTTAAACCCGCATTTTTAATTAATTTTTTTTTGCCATTAATTTCGAGTTTTTTTGATTTTTTAAAATTTTTTCCTACACTTTTAAGGGTGTAGAATTTAATGGTAAAGTCTATTTACCATGAAAATGACTTTGATTTTTTTTTTTCTGCTTACTCATTTTTTCAATTAATTGTTTGCATGCATGTATGTACCTTATTTTTTATGCTTTTTTGAAATTTTAAAATTATTTCCTAGGTTTCAATGTGTGTAGAATTTAATGGTGCAATCCAATTTTCTTAAAACTCAACGGTTCATTTTTAATACTGAAATTAGACCCATTTTTTCACTTTATTTTTTACAGCTTAATTCTCATCATTTTTGGACATTTTAAATTTATTTCCTACACTTTAAGACATGTAGAAAATTATGGTTTCAACCATTTTTCCCCAAGGTGAAAACTATACCTTGAATGCTGCATTTGACACGTTTTTTTAATTAATTCCTCACTTTTTCACCTAATTGTTTGCATACATGTGTGTACCTTATTTTCTATGCTTTTTTGAAATTTTAAAGTTGTTTCCTACATTTAAAAGTGTGTAAAATTTAATGGTAACATTCAATTCCCATAAAACTCAACGGTTCATTCTGGATACTGTAATTAGTCATATTTTTCAATTGATTTTTAAGAGCTTAATTTTCATTATTTTTTGACATTTTAAATTTGTTTCCTACACTTTCAGACATGTTTAAAATGATGGTAACAATAATTTTGCATAAAAAACAAAGATTGTTATTGAATACTGCGTTGGACATATTTTTTGAATTAATTCTTACACGCTTAATTACCCTTATTTTTTGGAATTTTGAGCTCATTTCCTACACTTTGAAAGGTTTCAAAATTGGAGGCTGTATCCATTTTGCATTCAAATACAATTTGTATTAAGTACAAATTATGCAAGAAACGAGAGCGGACACTCACGTATTATAATTGAAGCTTGTATTTTTAAGTGAAAAAATGGGTCTAATTTCAGTATTAAAAATGAACCGTTGAGTTTTAAAAAAATTGGATTGCACCATTAAATTCTGCACACATTGAAACCTAGGAAATAATTTTAAAATTTCAAAAAAGCATAAAAAATAAGGTACATACATGCATGCAAACAATTAATTGAAAAAATGAGTAAGCAGAAAAAAAAAATCAAAGTCATTTTTATGGTAAATGGACTTTACCATTAAATTCTACACCCTTCAAAGTGTAGGAAAAAAATTTAAAAAATCAAAAAAACTCGAAATTAATGGCAAAAAAAAATTAATTAAAAATGCGGGTTTAAAAGCGGAATGCGCGTGTGCTGTGACGCAGCAAAAGCGCGTCAAAACGCGGAAAATGCGGGTTTTTTTATTAAGGCCCTAAAATAAACCTGGAATATATGTAGTATTTTTATATTTTTTTTTGTTCACCTCTTCAAACCATTTTTTTTTTTTTTTAAAAATCACTGAATATCCAGTTTTCTTTACTCCATATCCAGTACTGGATATGAGGTAGTGTTGAAAGTGTTTCCAACAATATAAAAAAGAAAAAAAAAAAAAAAAAAAAAAAAAAAGAAAAAAGAAAAAAAATATGTTCTGTTGAGATGAACACCCTGGAGACATGTATGTTGGAAAGGATTAGTTCATTTCAACATCATAGGAGAAGAGAAAAAGAAAGAGAAAAAGAAAAGGAGAAACTATACCTGGAGACATGTATGTTGGAAAGGATGAGGGAAGGAAAGTCCTACCATACACACATGGCTCCAGTATATGAACTGAGGAAAGACAACAAGATGTCACAGAGTGTGACATGAGAGAGATGAGTGAAATGAAGGAAGAAAGAAGCACACTGACACCTGTGAGCATGTCACAGTATCTCAACATGTTCCCAATTTCCAGTCCTTATTCACTTCCATCTTTTCCTCTCTTCCTCCAACTTCATTATTCTAATGGTCCAAAAAAAAAAAAAAAAAAAAAAAAAAAAAAAAAAACCACAAAAACATGGTACAGTTTCCTCATGTTCTCTTTTCCTGTAATTCTACACTCCATCTCTTATTCTTATAGTCCAGTTTTACCACTTACTCTTCTTTCTTTTCCCCTCTTTCTCTCATTTCTTATCTTTGAATCTACAAAAAATCCAGATAAAAAAATTTAAATATAATTATAAAAAAAAAAAAAAAAAGAAAAAAAAAAAAAGAAAAAAAAAAAAACCCCCGGTGTAAATATGTTTCCTTATGTTCCTAAATCATTTCATTCTTCACTTCCTCCAACTAGTGTCTGACCATTTTAGTATATTGTACTCTCCAAAGCTCAACCAACCTTGTAAGTATCATCTCTATTGATGAAACCTCAACAGCTATTGTCAACCACCCATGTTACTCCATCTGATTTTTACTGTCCAAACGTACTGCTATCAACAAGCTTCCATATACTTTGTCCAGCCACACATGTTCTCATTTTTTACTGCCAAACATACTGTTCCCTTATTGATATTACCTCTATCAATCTACTTTCAACAACTGTCATTAGCCTCCCATGTACATACTAGCCCCCCATAGTGTTGAAATTGAATGCCTTGTACCATGGGAAATGAAAGCCTTGAATGCTGGGAAGGCTGGTCCAACAAGTAGTTGGGACAACTCTAGGCACTTTGCTCTTATGGGTGATGAACATTGAAGTTGAAATTGTACACATGTGAATTTTAAGAGTTGAGAATCATTTTCTACGTACAAGATCAGAAGAAAGGGGGGTTTATTGTGGCAAGTCAGTATTTTACATGGAATACAAACATCAAGCTGAAGAAATGGGAAACAAATGATAAACAGAATATCTTTTTCAGCTGCTTCCAGATAATTCCAAAAGGGGGGATCTATTGTATGGGGTTAGTATAATTCCATTGGATTCAATTGAGAAAGTATTGCGAGGCAAGAAACGGTATGCTGCAACTGAGTCAATGTTTGCTGGTTCAAGCAGCAGGTCCTTGTCCCGATCCAACTTTCCGACAACGGCCGCACATTGATATAAGGAGAAGCGAAAACGAGTCGTGGGAAGGTTGAGTCTCTTGGGGTATAGGTTGACAATTGGTGAGCAGAAAATAACATGTTTTATCTCTTCTAGATGGTTTTTGTACATGTATATCTGCTTCACAATGCCATACTTCAGCTTACCACCAAGCTTAGCAACCACACAATTTTGTGGTTCTAAACAGGATACCCTGACATCTCCACACAAAACAGACTGAACAGGTGTTGCATACCCAGATAGAACCGGCAATCCACGTGGTATTGGGAACTCGTCTCGATGCCTTAATGATGGATGTTGTCTCCTTACCCAGCTGAATAGCTTCCCGTAGACTGCGTCAGAGAGGTATATAGAGGCAGGTGACTTTGCTGTTTGAGATTTATTGTTTTCGCCATTGGTCTGGAGGAATTCTTTGTATCCAGGCTTGTCAATCATTTTTTGTAATTGGCATCCCCGAGTCATCATTGTTGCATTCATCTGGTCTGAAAAAAGAAAATAAATATTAAGTAGATGTTGTCACTAGATGTTGTACCTGAGTACGTATTGAGATTGCACCCACCAATCAAATTGTTTGTCTTGATTTTTTGCAAAAATCCAATGAGTCTCTCCCCTGGAAATTCAGAGAGACAGACAACAGGCCCCCATCGACGCAATTGAGTTGTATAATGTAAAGCGTAGTGGTGATTCGGTTGTACCTTCACGCCTTTGAAGAGTTCGCCGACAGTGTCACTGTATTTTCTGTAGTCTGACTCAAATTGTTTGATGTGGAGGTCTTTAATTTTCCTAGAGCAGATAATTCGAGTGCATGAAACTAGATTTCCTGTGTTGAAGAGAAAATTTGATAGTTTTGGTTGACTGTCAATATTTCCAATTTTGGTTATGTAGAGATCAAAGATAACCAATGGGATGATGTATGAGAAGAGGGTAAACCACTGTGATGCCTTCAGTCGTCCA